TGGGAGCCTTGCCACTCCCCCTCTCATGAGGGTAAAAAAACAACGAGGAGGGAGTGTGAAACCTATTTTCAAACTCTGTTATGATTATCTGATGCAGAGACTACTCTGGGATTCTCCATGGGAGAGACCCGAGTGCTGGGTGATGTCTGTCTTGAGTGAAGAGCAGACTCCAGACCAGTCAGTGCCAGGATCTGTGTGCCTTCAGCTGGGACAGGAGCACCCACACACAGCCAGAGGCCCACGCAGGGATGGCTCCAAAGCTTTGCAGGACATCTACAGGCTGACAGGTTGGTCTGGCATTGAGTGCTGACTCAGAACGATGCTTGAAGGCAGCAAGAATTTACCCCCAGAGAGAGCAGAAACACAAGCAGTGAGCTCCCAGAACATCTGCTCTCAGCTGGTTTCCATCTAAGCCATCCACCAAGAGAGTCAGAGGCTAAATTGTGGCATCTCTGCTCTCCTGTCCCACAGCTCAGCAGGGAAAAGTGACTCACTGTGACACTACACCCGTGCAGATTTCCCTGCAGTAGCTTTTCGCCCGGACTCTTCAGAAGCATCACGGAGCAGCTGCTTTCCCCACAGGGAACAAGCTGCAGGGGACTTAACAGTAATACACTGGTACCCAGGCTTCACGAAGAGGGCTGTAAGCTGCTGATCCTGCAGTAACACCTCCAAGGATTTAGAGTTTTTAATGTTGATTGCTGAATATTTCTGTTCCAGTCTAAACCATTCCAACAGTTGTTTCAAGTGCGTGTATTCATTCCCTTCCTTTTAACCATTGGAGCTTCTTGCTTGGTCTGGGAGCAGGGAAGAGGGAATGAAAAGGTCTCTTCAAATTTGCTGGAGCTGCTCTCTTAAAAGAGGGCATTGACACAGATCCTGCAGCTCCCACGTGCAGCAAGGCTCCCACAGGACCTGCAGGCACAGAGAGACTGCAGGATCCTTGTGGGCACTCCAGGAAGTGTGGCTGTTCTCCTCCCCACTGGATCAGAGTATCGTATCTATTCCTAGCATGGATCTACCAGGTGGCAACATTCCCCTGCCAGCATACCTTTGGTTTGGCTCACCTTGAAAGCTATGATGTTATATTATATGATGATGTCATTATATTTATTTCAACTTTCAATGAAGATTCCTGGCAAATCTCCAAGCTGGAATATCTTCTCTTTAATGTGTCCAAGATCCAGCCAATGTGGTGCAGATTACATTTATATAACACAGCCCAGTGAGGTGAACTGCTGGGAAGTTTTTTCAAGGTGTTTATGTTACTAAATTAAGATTATTTCTCTATTAAAACTATGGAAGAGGAAAACCCTGTCCAGTATTTACTGAAATACTACTGCTCTAATTTCTAGCTGTGGTTGTTTTGGTGATGATTCCATAGTGCCATCATGCAATCACAAAAAGTCATCTGTGTGGCGGTGTTTTGAAAATGATAAAAGGAATCAAATATATTTTTCAATTAAGTATGTATGTGAGGACACGACAGTTTAATGTGTAATGTTTCCTAGTTGGTTCATTTTCTTCACACTATCTGAACTAATTTTGAATTAGTTCATTTGGACAAGTTACTTTGGTTTACTTTTTTGCGCTTATTGACTTATTGACTGTGCTCCTCTTAGCACTTTCAAATAATCCATCATCACGACTTTGGTTAAAAGCCCCATGTTTTTCCCTGATAATCAGCAGTATAAAGCATTGGAGAGTGATATGTAGAATACTGCTCTGCACTGACAAAAACAATGGCTTGGATGCTAAATGAAATATCATAGAGGAACCTCCCTTGAACACTGGGCCTTAACTTTACTAGATTTTGAATAAACACACAGTGTGGAGAGAACAGAATATTCTGACAAAGACTGACTACAGCAGCAAAGAAGATGGAGTCCTGTGCTCCTCACAAGGAACCGCAGCACACAGGTTAAATTAACTCAGCTGAGCCTATGGTGGACACAGAAATGCATTAAAATTCACATTATTATGTTTTAAGACACGAAAATTGCAAAAGAAAAAACTGCAGAGTAAGTAAAAGCAACTTTCAAAAAGTAAGTTTCAACTCTTCCCTTATTTCTTCCCCACAGTGGTCTTTGTGCAGTCTTATGATGCCACTACAAAGATCAGCAAAGAAAAAACTGGCTGTGTTATGAATTGATTTCTATTTAAAAGAGCTATAATTCAATTTTGCTACAAAAACATATTACAAAATCTAATATTAAATAGATTTGCATAGAAACATTCATCAGAAAGATATTTTATTTGTTTGGCTTGAAACACTTCCACTACAAGCCAAACATTTCAACACTAGGGCAGGAGGACCAGAAAGTGGACCTGACCAGAAACAACATTGAAAACTACTAGTTTATTTTTGATCTACCAGCTGACAAAATGTAGCTATTTATTAAAAATCATGGGCCTTATGGACGGTGAAAGTTGGTTTTTTAAACTCCAAAATGTTCTCATAAATTTATTAGCAGGGTGTTATTGGTTGAGAAAGCATATATGTACACGTGACTCTCTGATGGCAATGACCCTTGGATTAAAATTAAGACAGATATGGTAATAGATATTTAGACTACATTAACAGCACACTTCTTGTACACTCACATAAGTCACCAATACACATTCAGCTCTGCACACATAAAAATTTTTAAATCTTGAAGCCAGCAGTCAGAGGTGGTTTCCAGATGAAGTCCCTGTTTGCTCCATTGCTGGGATCACAGACCGATAAATCACTGGCTGAGCCCCCTTGCTAAATAGTGGGAATATTACTTTAGCAAAGTTTGCTAATGGGGCAAAGGACCTTGTATTGTAATCCAGTGACATTTTCAACCTTCGGAGAACTTTTGTTGACATTCCCGAGTCCCTGGCTGCCATCCCAGCATGAAATAGTTTCTGTTCACATAATTCTCGTGTTTACCAGTCATGAAAAACTCTTGACTTTTTTTTTTAAATAAACTTTTTTTTTTTTTTGCAAGTGAAATACTGTCTAAAAAAATATTGGCCCCAGGCATACAAGGTTTTGCATAAATTCATATGTGATGAATGGCTGATTTTAATGTTATTTGGGTATTTGTCAGAACCTAACAAATATACATGGTAATGGTGGTTCATAAACTTAAACATCTCAATATACCCTTTCTTCTGGAAATAAATTACGTTTGTTTGCCCTGCCTGGAGTCCTAAGGTAGCCGACATTAGGAATATTTTAAATGTGATCATCCATCCAGCATGTCTTTCAGGCGCCACGAAGATTAAATGAAAGAATCATAAGATGAAGGTCTTTAACTTTTAATCCTTTTACAATGAACCCTTAGATAGACATGGGGGCAGGGTGCCTTCTATGTGAGTAATAATGCCTCTGTTCCTCTTCACTAGGTTAATGAATACCCTAAATGTCCCAAGATCTGATTTTCTTTCCCCCTCCCAAAACTATTGAAATTAGAGCAAAGAGACGGGCGGTAAAACGCACCGAGAGCCTGAGCTAGAGAATGAATATGCATTCGGAGATACCGAACTAAGCGTTAGAGAAAGCAGGGCTGGCTCGTCTCAGTGAAAGACTCGGGGGTTTAAAATTATTAGCATAGATTCCCTCCGAGTTTTGGAGGAGAAATTTAAAATAAAGAGTTTTTTCGGCTCCAAGATAAGGAAAAGGCTTTCTGCACTGTCAGGGAGCCTTTGAAGAACACGTGGAGAGTTTGTTTTCGCAGTTGGTATCTGAGATACGAACCGCCAGCTCTCCCAGCACGTAAAAGTCAAACACGTAGCTAATTGGGCTGGGTCCCGACGGAGCCGTGGGACTCTTGCGGGTCCTGCGGAGCCCCGCGGGCCGGGCTGTTCCGCAGCACCGAGGGGTGCGGGGTTCGGGGAGCGGGGACAGCCCTGGGGAGCGGGGAGCAGCTCTGGGGAGCGGGGACAGCCCTGGGGGTCGGGCCGGGAGCGGGGGCAGCCCTGGGGAGCGGGGGCAGCCCTGGGGGGCTCGGGCACCCCGCGGCAGCAGGGGCGGCACAGCGCGCTGCTCCCGGCTGCAGGGCTCGCTGCTCGCCGGGCTGCCCGCAGAGAGGAGCTCGAGGGAGGGGGTGCGGTCCCCGACCCCACAGCCCCGGGCAGCCCGGCAGGGTGGCGATGGCCCGGCGCTGGCGGGAGCCCAAAGAGTTAACCGGGCCGGGCCGGGCGGTGTGCGGGGCTGTCACAGGATCAGGCTAATAACGTGTCTGCGCTGAAACCCCCCCAAAGCCCAGGGGTCAAGTTTCAGCAGTGTCCCACCACAATGGTAGGTGTGAAAGACACGTGTCCCGTTGTAAATGAAATGTCAAGCGGTTAAAAGAAAAATCCTCGAGCAGCTGCCACCGAGCTCGCCGGGGCTGCGCGGCCGCGGGAGCGGCTCGGCGGGGGCCAGCGCGGAGCGGAGCGCAGGGCCCCCCGCCGGCCGCCCCCCACTGTGCGGGGCCGGATACCCGGCGGTGTAGGTGCCGCCGAGCCCCTGTAACAGAGTCGTGAGCAGGTTCCCACCTCCCCCTGCCACCACAGAACGTCCTGCTGAGCGTGGAGAACGAGGAGAAGAGAGAAGAAAGCCCCCCCGACAGCGGCCAAACCAAAAAGCAAACAGAATCCAAACGGCTCGTGTTTTAGTGGTTGACTTTAATTCTGCACTGCACTTTTACTACAAGGATATAAAGAATAAATAGCAGATACTCTTCATTTACATAGGATTAAGTCATTCAAACTGTTCTCTCTATTTACAATAACATTGTGCTCTAGGCGTTTATTCATTTTTATTTTAAATCTAAAGTCCGTAAGGAAAAAGAAAAAAAAACCCTCACACACACGCTTTCCGAATAATGGAAAATAGCTTTAAACGTTTTCTTATCAAAAAGCTTGGTTTGTATTTTTTAATCCTTTTATTAAAAAAAAACAAACCACCCAACAAAAAACCTACTTCGCCCAAGCGAAGCAACTTCTCTCTGGAATATAAATACCAAAAAAAGATACATTAGCAACGATCAGGGTAATAGTCTTGAAAATACAGTAGACGCTGATTATTTCACGTATAATACTGACCTCTTAATAGTATATTAAACCGGTGCCATATATACACACACAATATACATTCTCCTACACGTTACAGTGCATTACAACGTTAACCAGAAAGCAAATGTCTTTTATTTCTGTTGCAGCAAAGGTCCACGTGAGTCCGCTGGAGAAGGGGCGCGAAGGAAAGTGCCAGCCCTAGCAGGAGCACTTACACTCTGAAATGATGGGGTACTGGATGGGTATCCACGTGCATCTCTGCCCGCCCCGGCGCTGGCACCTCCACCTCAGGATCGTTAAATGCACGGATTTGGCAGGTTTGCAAACCATGCCTTCGGGGACTGAACAAGACCTTTTACTGTAGCAGCTGCCCACTTTGACATACCGGGGCCAAAAGCGGCTGCCGAGATCGTTCCACGTGTATAGGACCGGGCAGAAGGTCTGGGACCAAAGCCACATCTGCAGCTTCCTGCGCAGCTTCTTGCTCAGCCTGTGCTTCTTGCCCGGCTGCAGCCCGTCGTAGAACTCCAGCCCTTTGATTTCGCTGGGCATCGCTCCTGAGGGTCTCTGCCTGAGCAGCAAGTCCAGCTCAGCTAGATCGTCCACTCCGAGTCGGTCCTCGGGCAAGGAAACAGACATAAAGTTGGGGTCGAAGTGTCCGCCCATGAGGTTCCTTAGCAAGGTCTCGTTAAGATCCTTCTCCTTGGGGTCAAAGATAGGGTCCGGGTGCTCGATTAGATCCACCAAGGGCAAGTTGTCGCTGGGAGCCGGTCGGATGTGCAGATAGTGCTGGCAGGCGCCCTGCTCTAGCCGGAGACCCAGCAGAACCACCAAGGCGTATATAGTCACAAGGCACTGGGAATGATCCATCCTTGGGAGACCGGTGGGGGGGGGGGGGGGGGGAGGGGGGGCTGGATTCACCGAGCAGCAAGGGAAGAAGGTGCAAGCAAATACATCAGAAAACTTGTACGGGGATATCCAAAACAGCTCGTCTTTGAGGGGGATCACCTCCACTCGCCGCACCACCAGCAAAGACAGCCCCCTGATAAGCCCGGAGAACAAGCCCCCTGCAAACACGCTCTCTTGCAGGCTTCTCTATAAAATTTCTCCTGGTGGAGCCGATCCAAAATTCTGCTCCTGCTGCTTCTTCTCGCCCTTCCCGGGAACGGGAGATGCCTCTTTTTGTTGCGAATCCTGCTTGCTGCTGCCGCTCCTCGTTGTCTGCCCGTGCGTGTGGAAGTAGTTGCTGCGATTCTTCCTCCCCGCTCCTCTCCGCCGTTTGCAAAGCAGCCTCCTCAGCAGCAACAGCAGCCACGCACGTTGGCACCAGTTTGTCTGCTTTGCAAGGACCCAAAGCCTTTAAATTTCCTGCACTTTCGGCTTCATCTCCATGGAAACCACAGACTCTCTCCTAACCCACCCCACCCCCCTTAAAAAAAACCTACACACACAACACAACCCCCACTCCCACAAAAGTCCAGGAGAGCGCGGCTTCCCCCTTCCCACCGGCAGGCACCCTCTGCTGGGGAAGGCTGAGGCGGGAGCCGCCGCCTCCCCCCGCCCTCCGCACGCCGCCGCTCACGCGAGCCGCCGCGCCCCGGGAGATGCTGCCCTGCCCGGGGCAGCCGCCGGCAGCTCCGCCCGGCCGGGCGCCCGCACCTCGGGTCGCCGTCGCCGGCTCCGGGCTCGGCCTCGCCCCGCCGCTCTCCCCGTGGGCGCGGAGCGCGGCCTCTCCCGCCCGGCCGGCGCAGGAGCGCGGCACGGCCGCCCGCGGAGGACGGCGGCTCTCCCGGCGCTTCGCGGGCCGCCCGCTCCCTCCCGGCCCGGCCTGCGCTGCGCGGCCGCCGGGGGCCGCCTGCCCGGGCGCGCACATGGGCGCGGGGCGCGCTGCCCGCCCGCGGAGCCGCTGCGGACGCTCTGCCCGCGGCCCCGGCGCCGCCGGGCGCCTTCCCGGGCGGAGCGAGCCCTCTGCTGGCGGCGCCGCGCCGGGCGGGGGCTGCCCGGGGGGCACCGGGACAGCGCGGAGCGGCGGGATGCCCTCGGCGCCGGAGAAACTCGGCAAGAGCCTCCCGCGCCCCGCGGGTGAGCGCGGACAGCGGCAGCGGCGGGCAGAACACCGGGGGTGCTGCGGGTGGGAGGAGGCGGCTCCCGGGGACTCCGCGCTCGCCTCGGCGGCTACCGACGGGTGGGACCCCGCGAACGGACCTGCGGTCCCCCGAGACGAGCCCGGGAGCTCGGCTCCCATGGCGGATGCTCCGGGAGACCGCCCGGCCCCGCTGCTCTCTCCGGAGCACTTGCTTAGCGATTTTCTAGGGAGTTCTCTAAGACTTCTTCATCAAAAACGCAATTTCCAGTTATGCCCTCAATCCATACAGGAAAGATGGAAAGTGCCTCAATGGCAAATACATAAAACAATTTAAAATTTGATACTAAATGCCACTTCCGTGGTAGAATTACTGTCTTGCAAAGAGCACTTACACGGCATGGCAGGCAGCATGGCTGTGAGCCTCTATTATGGTTTGAGTAAAATTTCCTGAAGTGCTTGAATCCCATTCCTGCAGGCTATTTAGGCACTCAGGAGCCTAAGTTTAATGGGGCTGAAGCTAAGCCATTTCACCTAAATTATTTATGCATTTGTTTAAATCTTAACCTTCAAACTTAGGTTCATTATGAAAGTAATACATAGATCATATTACCAAGATAGGGTGTTTTTAGTAAAAAATATACTTTTTCAGCTATTTTCACTCCCAATTTTCAATTTAAAATATTTCTTAACTTTGCTTTATTCCAGAACATACAGGGCATTTTATACATAACTGAAAAAAAAAAATACATGAAAAAATAGAAAACTGACCTAAGGTCAACTCTGTGAAAGAGCCTCACAGTGACACTTGATGCTACAATGTCAGTCAAAGATCTGCCAAGAGTTTTATTACAATTTTTTTCACCTGCAAATTGAGGTGTCTACCTTTACCCAGACCCTGATAAACTTTAATTTCTGAAATTTGGCATAAAAGTTATCCCTGGATATAAGTGAGAAGCCACGCCTCAGAAACAGAACAGAAGCAAAAATTCATCTAATGGCTTGTATTTATTTTTTAATAATAAATTCTGTTTTACTCAGGTGGTATTTGAAACCAATTCTTTAACTACCAGTTTCTTAAGTCTAAAAAGCAAAGCTGATAAGGCCTATGTTCCATCTATTCCATGCCAGATGTTTAAGATTCCACATTCAAAACTGTGACCCTAAGACAAGACCTTTTCCTCCTCAACTGAGTTACCTGTACGACAAAATGTTTCTGGAATGAGGCTCTTTAAGCTTCTCTGTCCCTCTTTAAGCCCCAGATCTGTTCTGAGCAGAGCAGGCTGGGGCTCAGTAATTCCTCAAGCACTGGTGTCTGCCTGCCTCAGGTGCACTGGGCTCCTGGAGAGGCCGTGAAAGCTCGAGGGATGCAGAAGTGACAGAACTCACTCATGGCCCAAGAATTTCTTGGTGGAATGGCTGACAGCAGGACTGGGGAAGAGCTTTCAGTAACTCTGCCAGAGGCCTCTGGGTCAGAGGGAAAAGAAACTGGTTTGTTCCAAGGCTTGCTGAAAACAGCAGTAAATGAAACCTGGAGGTAAAGGGCGTGATCCAGGGTCTGTGTATGATGCCAGCCCTTCCTGGGACAGAGAGAGAGGCCAGCAGCTCATAGAGGCCTTAGCTGGTCATTCTACTGGAAATGATGCATGAAGCAGAGTAGAACAACTCCCTTTGCCTCAGCTTTATTGGTTCTGGAGTGCTGTCAGTAGTAAAAATGTGTTTTTTCAGTAGACAAAGCAAATAAAACCTTCAAGGCACAGAGGAAGCCAATGTAGGCAAGAGTAAGATGCCACTTCCTCAGGGTCACCTCGCTGATGAGGAGAGAAGAGGAATGCAGCCTGCACGGCTCTGCAGGCACAGCTCTGGAAATGCATTATGTAAGCAGCTGACTTCAGTCCACAGCAGTGAGGATGCACAGAAGCAATTCAGAATAGGTTAGTTTCCTGTTAAATATGCTAACAGTACATGGTCTAACGTACTTCACCCAATCCAGGGCTCAGGAACATCCCCCTGAATTCAGCCCATGGTGTCAAATCAGCCTGGTCTGCAAGCAGTGGTCTCAGGCACAATGCATTCATCACTCTAAAACACGGAGGGAATCTCACAGAAAGTAATAAAACACTGCAAAACTGGGATGAAGAACTATGCCAGGTGTGACTGGAAAAGCTGTGCCTTCCTTAGGAGGGGAGGCTTCCTTAGAACTATTCTTGCTTCCCTTTACACTTAAAGATAATCTCTCATTGCCTTTTGCTTCCTGCTTTAAAAAATCCATTGGCATGAAATGATTGTTAAGGAAAGGAAGGGAAAACCAGCAGCATAACCAAATGAGTCCTCTGCTCAGCTGTCATGCAAATTTCTCATATGGCTTTGGGCAGCACATTTCATAGCTCTGCCTTTCCTTATCTGTAGAGCAGGAATGCTAATGCTTGCCTTTTTCATGGAAGTGTTGGAGAGTTTGATTAGATGCTACCAGTATCAGTGGAACAATGCAGAAGGATCTGTTTTACTAAAATTTTAGAGGAAACCTGTGTTTGAAAGAGTAGACAATGGAATTAAAATCACTTAAATTTTAGTCTTAGGTCCTAGCAAAGTTGCTAGTTTCCTCTTCCTTTATACACCTGTATAAATTTTGAAAGAAACTGCTTTTCTGCCTTTTTTTAAAAAAACAAAATCCCTAAAGAAATTCTAAAGGAGATGCACAACTTGCAGCCATTTTACATAGTCCAAATATATCAGATGACAAATCTACATTATGAGCTATCAAGGGTCATGTATGACATTCCCAGGAATCCATGTACCACAGGTAGAAAATCACTATTCTACCACTTTGAAACTACATTCTTTAGCGTGGAAAGATTCAGGGATATCCTGATGGATACTTGAAATGTGCTGCTCTGTCCCTCTCCCCTCATGAGAAATTTACCTCATCAATTCTCCTGCTGCTTTCCTGATACACAGAATAAAGACTGTGCTGAGGATGGAAATGTTAGCAGGTGATCAGCTGCTCTGAAGGAAAACAGTTTTGAATCAAAAATTTTGGAAGGTAAAACATATTTTGAGAGAGCAAAGTTCTACCTTGAAATCCCAACAGAATGGAGACAGGGAAGGATACACTTAGCCAAGAACCTCTATCTACAGTGATAAATAGTATATAAATAATATATTTTGAAACTAAGCTCAGGGATGAATGTTTTATAGTGGAGTAAATCCTAAGACAGCTAATGCATTAAAACAATGAAGAAAAAAGCAGCAAAAAAAGGAACCCCACAAATAAATAAAAGTTATTTCTTAGTCTTCTAAGTAGAGCTGTACATAGATGTATCCATCACCTTAAAAAATGTCCCTAAAGAATTGCTGTGTATTTTTTATTACATGTCATTCTTCCTCCTAAAATACTGTGCCTCCTTGAGTCTCAGCCCCCTCTGCTCTTGCTTCTGCATTTTTGCTAAGGTATAGACTTTTGTCTTTAGACCAGAACTTGTGCATTCATCTGCTGATAAACTGTTTATCTTAGCTTTTATGAGGGCGCCTTGCTGCAAGCCAGCCAGAGACAGGATCCTGGGTGTTTGTCTCTTTTTTAAAAGAGGGTTCGGGAAGTGACGGGTATTTATACCTCCCTTGGCTCTATATATCATGGGAGGTGGAACTCCACTGTCTCTGTTTCTTGCTTTTTCTCTAGCAGTGTCTTCTGCTGTAAATCTGAATCTCTCGGAACTGAGTTTTCTTGGCCACAACCCCACTTGGAAGAATAAGTTTTAATTATTTATTTATTTACGCAAAAGGTTTGCAATGGAGGAAACCCAAAGTTCTTCTAAATCCTCCCCCTCCTC